GGCCCTTCGCTCGGTACGTTCGGTGTGGCTCACCCTCCATGCCGTGAACAGGCGCTTTATCCACCCTATATTCTTCTCTCGTTCCTCTGCCCTTGCCTTGGTCTTGTCGTTGTTTCGCACCCATGTCTGTATGGCAATCGAGGCTGCCTTCCCCACTACCTGAAGTTCACTCGTCACCTCTCCCGCGAGCTCCCTTCTCTTTCTTTCGGGTATGGAGTCCGTGAGTGCGGGTAGCGTGCAGGCAATCACGGGTGCTATTTTGTCGTACTCCTCTTCTTTTGCGGAAATCGCTCGGCGTGGTTTGCTGGGACGTTTCTTAATGTCCGCAACCCACTGTAGGTACGCGCGTCCCCTGTGCGGCGGCGGCGGGTGCGGAGCGCGGTGGCGGCGGCGGCGGGGCACTCGCCGACTGCCATCAAGAAGAAGGAGAACGAGGGCGGCGCATCCGGAGCCCGCGGGCGCGTCGCGGCGCATCGTTGACTGAGGCATGACGCACAATCTCCCGGCAGCCATGCTCGCCCTCGCCCCGCTCGTCGCGGTGATGGCGGCGCCCGACTTTGGCCCGCGCTTCGCGCCCACGCACAAAGACAACATGAATGGCGCCTACCCATTCTCGGCCACGCCCGGCGGCACTCCCGGCAAGATGCCGAAGCGATTTTCGGACTATCCTCACGGCGTCGAGTCGTTCGATGTGCACACTTCGGAGATGTCGACGCTGTACAGCCAGGTGTGGTGGAAGCCCCACCCGCCCGCCGCGCTGCCGAAAGAGATCGTCGCCAAGTACAATGGCAGCCGCATGGCCATCGTCGGCTGGGAGATTGACCAGGTGCAGCGCACGGCGGACGGCGACGTCTCGGTGCCCATCTCGGCGTCGTACAACCACCACTACGTGAGCCAGCTTGTGGGCGCGGGCGCGCGGCTGCGCCAGGTCAAGCTCGACGGCCCGCACGACCCGCGCGCCAAGGAGCTCATGCACGCCTCGCACGGCCACGTCAACTGGGAGCAGCCGCAGTGGATTGCCGAGGACGTGGTGGAGGCGGCGGGTGGTGAGGGGAGGGAGGCGGCGGCGCAGTCGACGCGGCAGTGGTTCTCGAGCGGCAACGGCGGCGAGTACCGCAAGACGTACCACGGCTTCGCACCCGGCTACGCGATGGTCGTCGACTCACCAACCCACCTGCAGATGGCGCCGATGCAGATTGACACGTGGAACCGCGAGGCGATGGACATCTCGGCCAGGCGCCAGGGCCCCGTCAGGTTTGTGCCGGGGCCGCAGCCGCGCGCGTCGCTCGCGCCGGCCGACGCGGCGCACTCTGGCCTGCTCGAGTGCCCCATGACCACGCGCCTCACCAAGGTGGTAGACGGCGCGTACGCGGTGCACGCCAACGCCTCCTCGTGCGCCGAGCCCATCCTCACCTACCACGAGTGCTTCGAGGCCGCCCGCAAGGTCTTCACGCACGTCGTGAGCGTCTCGAATGCGAGCGGCGCGGACGCGCGGCGGCCCGTCGGCTGCTCGGCCGCGCTGCGCCCGTCGAGCGCGTCCGTGAGCGTCTTCTTCAACGAGATGGCCTCTCCGCCCACGGCGTGCAGCGTGGCGCACCAGTGCGTCTGCCCCGTCGCGCCCAAGCCCTTTGGTCAGGCCACGGGCGCGCTCCGCTACCATCCGACTTCGCAGCCGGCCGACGTGGGCCGTGGCTTCGCCGCGCGCTTCGGCAGCGGCGGCAAGTCCTGCGCCGCGTGGCCGAGCACCGACCTCATCGAGCATCGCAACCCGACGTGCGACATCCGCCACTATCAGGGCGGGCAGTGGGCGTGCAACCACGGCTGGTCGCTGCTGGACGCGGAGCAGCAGATCCCGTGGGCCGACCGGCCGCTGGTCTTTGTGCACAAGTTCCGCTTCTACGTGCAGCCGTACGTTCCTGCCTACCACACGCCCATCCGGCTGGGCGAGACGGCGGGCTCGGCGCTGCTGCTCGGCTCCCCATGGGAGTACGACGTGCCGCGGTGCGCCGAGGGCGTGCCCGGCTGCTCGCGCGACGCGCATGGCATGTGGGTGCACAAGGTGGTGGGCAAGCACGTGGGCAAGCACACCTTTGTGGCGCTCAACAACCACTGCCACGCACCCACCTGCCTCGCGATGGAGGTGTACGCGTGCGCCAAGGGCACCCCCCTCGAGGCGTGCGACACGACCGCGGGCAAGCTCGTCTGCCGCACGGCGCCCGTCTACGGCGGCACCGGCTCGCCGACGGAGCAGGGCAGCAGGTTCGACGAGGCGGGGTACATCGCCATCCCCGACTGCTTCTGGGGCGGCGCCGAGTGGGGCCTCGAGCCGCCGCAGCAGCTGGACGGCGTGCCGCTGCACATTGTCAAGACGTGCAACGCCACCCTCGGCCACTACGGCGAGATGGCGGGCGGGCAGCCGTGGGTGTATAGCTAGGTGTATGCGGGTGAGCGAGTACGGAAGCGGTGCACTGTTCTGCGGCGGTGCATGCATGATAGAGAAGACCGGCCCTGGTGCTGTTTGTGGTCCGGCGGTGTATGCATGACTGTGTCTGTCGTGTGAGGAGACGGTTCCTGATATTATTTCTTCGCACCGCTTCGCGTTCGGAAACTCCACTCTTCTCGCACACGTCGCAGTTGCGAGACGCAAACTTTCCTCGGAGCGAGAGCCTCCAAGGATGGGCGGGTGCGTGGGGGTGATCACTTAGCGAACGCGCTCGGCCGACTACACGGTGAGCCATACGGACCTTGCACAAAACCTTTTCCTTCTAAGCAGGGCTACACAATGACCCTATAGTGTGGGGGTGTTCCTGGCGAGTTGTGATGAGTAGAATTAGACTAGCCAATACTATTTTGAAGTTCATATATGAAAATACCAACTTGCCTATGTGCACGTCTCCGCGGCGGCGGCCCGGAGGCGGCCCGGCGGAGCAGTCAGAGCAGCACTGCGCCGGCCGGCGAGCGACTCTCGACTATAGTACGGGCTCTATTGAATGGCCTCAAGGTGCTCTCTAGGACTGCCCTACTCCGCTCGCCCGGCTACGTCGCTGAGCTTCGAAGGAAAAGGTTTCGCTCGGCACGACGTCGGAGAGCAAACTTCAGCGTTCGTCCTATGTGGAATGCTGGACGCACGTCGGCAAGTGGTCGCATGACCAGGCCGGCTGCTGCTCAGAATCTGGGCCCTCTTGGCGCTCGCACTCGCGCTCTTCATAACGGCTTTGCCCCCTCCCTCCTGCGCCGACGTTGGGCAGCCCGACCACGACAACGCCAGTGCCGCTGGCCTGCAACTCGAGGCGCCTTTGAATGACAAGGTTGCCGGGTCCATGGACGCAGACTTGCTGGAAATTGAAGAGGTGCTCGGCGTGCGTTACTGCGATCCGAGCCAGATGACTGCGGTGGCGCTGAGGAACCCTGTCGATGAAGACGACGACCGCTTGGAGTACCTCGTCTCTGGTTCGGCAGGTCCCGACGACCGTGGCTTCCATTCTGTCGCTTGGTTTTTTCACGGCGACTTGCTGGACCATGCAGGTGCGGACACGGTCAAGGCAGCGATACAAGAGTATTAGAACTGGATAAGGAATTCACGGCGCTGGCGGAGGCGTGTGACGAGGCTGATGCTGAGTAGCCGCACCAGCGCTGCTCAGCGGCAGTGTGCGCCGACCAGGGGCAGGGCCAGTGGTAGACAGTGGACGTGGTGAGGCTGCTCTCTGAGCGATGACACTAGCAGGAGCATCATGAGTGTCCTCGGAGTTACTTGTGTTACGATATCACCACGCCGCCACGCTCGCAAGGGCCGCCTAAGCGCCTAAGCACCCTAAGCACCCCCCCGCTTAGGCCGCTTAGGCGCTTAGGCGAGTGACGGCCGACTCCCCGGGGCCTGGCGTGCCTCCGCCATGGGCTGAGCGCCTGGGAGAGCCACTCAGCAAGTGGTGTGCGAGCGTGTAGCCATTAGCGTGCAGTCGGCCCGCTGGGTGAGCTCTAGCGAGGCAGGGAGCACTTGGAGCACTTGGAGTGCAGTCATTAACCGCACGCCCAGGACCGGGGAGCTCAGAAGCGCACCCAGTTGGCCAGACGATTGGGATCCAGGGCCATAACACACCTCGTTACCCGGATTTCTCTTCTCAAGTTCTGGGAGCCCTGTACAGAGACGGCCACATCACCGCGTCTCAGGAATGCGGCTGTGTCTTTTGAGTCAGGCGCTGCCCGTTCGACCCTTGCTGTCGCCCTCGCCGTGTGTTTGTCAAGCTTCCGCATGAAGCAACGCGCCTCTTCCTTATTTCCAGCGCATTTGCCGCTCAGTAGGGGTGCGCCAGCGACGCCTGTGGTGGCTCACTGTCTTCTTGTGTCCAGTCGTCCCAGTCTCTCCGTTCTCCGATTCTCCTCCTTGCCTCACGCGCCTCTTTTGCGGCCTCATCCCTAGCCGCCTTGCACGCTCTGCACCCCCAAAACGCACTTCGTCGTGGCGGGGCCCCTCATTCCCCGTCTCTTTCCCCCACGCCTCTAGAATACGCCTGTGGTGTGCCCCGTGTGGCACCCCGACCTGTTGTCTCACCCTGGCTCCCAAGATCGTTTTGGTCGTCACATTGTGATCCCCGACGTCGTCAAATGTCGCCCGCCTGTCCTTCCCCCCGGTCTCGTCTGGTAATCTCATCTTATTATCCCATCGATGCTTGAGGCTGGCTACTGCCACTTCGCTCCACAGCCGTCCCTCCACCCCTGCCGTGTGTGTGTGCGATCCCGGCCGGCCTCACCGTCTTTCGACATTGTTCGCACACCCACTCGTGCGCGCTCTGACACATGTGCCCGTACGTCCGTCGGTCCGCTATCTCCCTCTTCTCTGTGTTCTCCGTCGCCTCTCCTCGCACCGATCTATAGTAAGCAATCGCCTCCAGGAGCAAAGGTGCCCAAGCCGACTCGATTTCTCTTCTCAAGTCTCTGAGCGCTGGCCGCACAGACACATCACGCCGCACAAAACAGGCGGCGTGGTCGGCTCTTCGCCAGCCATGGACAAATCCCTCGTCTCCAAGGCCACTGCCGACTCCGCCGAACCCACGCCGGGCTACATGTTCAACGAGATTGCGCGCATCACACACGCCTCTGTCGACGCGTGTCTGCAGCTGGAAAATTTCCTGCTCAAGCGCCTCAAGAAGGACTCTGTGCACGTCAAGCTCAAGGTGCTGCGCGTCATCAAGCACTGCTGTCAGCACGGCCACGCCACCTTCCGCCGCGAGATGCAGCGGCACACGACCGACATCAAGGAATGCCTGAGTGCGTGCTGCACCGCTTTCCCGCCCGCGAGACTGGCTGCGGGGGACGCGGGCGCGTTGAGCGAGGACCCGGCGCCAGCCCTGCGCCCCCCGCGTCGCCGGCCGGGCGCGACGCGCGCGGCCAAGCGAGACCTCTGCGCGCGGCTGAGTCGCCTCCCCTGCGCTCCCACTTTGGCGCAGGCCACCGGGGAACAGCCGATGCGCTGCACGGCGACGCGCTCAACAAGGCGGTGCGCGACGCGGCGCAGGAGACGATGCAGGCCATCTTCGAGACGTCGACGGCGAGCGAGCAGCTGCAGAGCGGGGGGCGCATGCAGGGCTTTGGCAGCGACGGCATTGGCGGCGGCGGCGGCGGCGGCTCTGCGGCAGGCAGCTACGGCGCGCCGCACCTGCCGTCGCAGCAGGGAAGCTTTGGTGGCGGAGGCGGGTACGGTGGTCCGCCCGGCGGTGGCAGTGACAACTACGGGGGGGCGCCCGGCGGCTACGCGCCCAAGGTGGAGACGGGCGCCTACTCGACGGGACGGATGCAGGGGTTTGGCAACCCCTCTTACGATCACAAGCCAAAGGAGGCGACGCAGCTCGAGAAGTTCGCCTCGAGCATGGCCACCGGGCTCAAGGAGGGCGTCTCCAAGGTGGCGGCGAAGATCAACAAGTCGGACGAGGGCTACTCCTCGCACGGCCCGCCGACCGCGTTCGCAACCACCGGCGGCGGCAGCTTTGGCGGCGGCGGCGGGTATGGCGGCGGCGGCGGGTACGGTGGGCCGCCGCCAGGCGGCGGGTATGGCGCCGGCGGCAATGGCGGCGGGTACGGTGCGCCGCCAGGCGGCGGGTATGGCGCCGGCGGCAATGGCGGCGGGTACGGCGCCGGCGGCAATGGCGGCGGGTACAATTGCGGCAGCTTCCAGCCGCCGAGCAACGCGCCGCCGCTGCCGCAGCCGACCGCGGGATCCTCCCCCCACCGCCCCGGCCTGCCGGGCGGCGGCTGGGGCGACGTCTCCAGCCAGTCGCTCGCGCCGTCCGCGCGGGGCGTCGACCCGCACGCGGCGGCCGCACCGCCCCGGGCGGCGCCGGTTGCGTCCGACGGCGAGTACGAGGCGAAGCTGGTCGACGAGGTGACGGCGCCCGGCGGCGTGCGCGCCGCCATCTCGCGGGAGGAGCTGCGAAAGTTCCTCAACGCTGTCAAGTCGCTCGACTCGCGCTCGGTCGCGGCGCTGCTGCAGCAGCGGATCGAGGGCTCCGAGTGGCAGCGCCGGCTCAAGGCGCTCATGGTGATCGAGGGCCTCCTCAAGGAGGGGGACGACTCCGTGCTCGGCCACTTCCAGAAGAACGTCGCGTGCATACAGGCCCAGCTCTCGTCGACGCAGGCGTCGCTCAAGGAGAAGGCGCGCAAGCTGCTCGAGCTGCTCGGGATCGACCACCACGCGCCGCGCACCAGCGGCGCGGGAACGGCGCCCGCGGGCCACGCCGCCCCCCCATCGGCGCCGGCCGCGCCCGCCGCGCCCGTCGAGAACCTGCTCGACCTCGGCGCAGAGTCGCCGCCGCCGCCCGCCGCCGCCGAGGGCAGCTCGCTCTTCGACGGGCTCTCGCTGGGAGCGGAGCCGCCCGCCGTAGGGCCCGCCGCAGCCGCGCCTGAGCCTGGCAACGGCTCCCTCTTTGGCGGCATGCAGTTGGGCGCGCCCGAGCCGCCCACCGCAGAGCCCGCCCCGTCACCGCCCGCCGCAGCGCCCGCCGTCGAGGCGGCCGCGCCACCCGCCGCCACCGGCGCCGGTCCCGGTCCCGGTGACGCGGCGGCCGCTGCCGACATGTTCGCGGGGATGTCGCTGCCGCCAGAGGCGGCGGCGGAGCCCGTGCCGCCCGCGCCCGCGCCGCCTGCGCCCGAGCCGCCCCCGGCGGCGAAGAGCGTGAGCGAGCTCGAGGCCCTCCTCGCGGACGCACCCGTCTCGCCGGCGAGACCGCCTGCGGCCAGCGCCGCGCCCAAGGCGGCCGGTGGCGCCAGCACGCTATCGGGCCTCGCCTCGATGGGCACGCAGCCGGCGGCGCCGCTGCAAGGCGCGGCGCAGCAGCAGATGGCGATGATGCAGCAGCAGATGGCGATGATGCAGCAGCAGATCATGCAGCAGCAGCAAATGCTGCGCATGAGCGGCGTCGCCGGCAGGCCGCCGCCGCCGGCGCCGCCCGCCATGCCGATGGGCATGGGCATGGGCATGGGCCGTCCGCCTTTGGGCGCGGGCTCGCCCGCCACGCGCAAGCCGATCGACCTCGGAAACGGGTCCGACTCAAACGGCGCGTTCGACTTTATGGGCGGCGCAAAGCCGGGCGACGCGTTCGACTTTGTGGGCTCCGAGATAGCAAAGAACAAGAAGAGCATCTAGCACCCCGCCCTTTTCCCCGCCGCGCCAGCCGCAGCGGCTCGTGCCGCGCGCCGCACTGACCACTGTCCTGGCGGAGAGCTGCAGTCTCCTCTCGTCGGGCCGCCTGTTTGTTCGTACCCTCGCAGGGAAAGAGTGTCTCTTCTCCGTTGTGTCGTGTTTTTCATTAAGTGGGATGCAAAAAAGATCGGGTATAAAAAGAAAGATCCGTTGGGGCACACACTCAAACACATACACGCGCAAAGGGGCTAGTTCCACTACCACTTCCAGTTCACTCTCTGTTCTCTCTGTGACACGCGCTAATCTTGAAAACGCATCCAACGGAGCTCCGTGTTGCTTCCAGCGCCCTGCCGCCCTCCCCCGCGCTCCCTGCGGCCATGGCCGATGCTCCTAGTATGGGAGGTCATTCGGGAGGTCATTCGGGCTACCGCGAGAGCGACCCAGCTCGTCGACATCGTCCGATGGTTGTGCCTCAAAGTCAGCCTTCGGAGGCTATCGTGGGGTCGAGCCGGCAGTAGCCGCGACATGTGGTTCCACCACCCCTCGTAGGCTTTGCCTCTGCTCCACTCGGCGGGGTCGCAGCTGCCTCTGGAAGGCACCGACATGTACCTTTCAAATGGTCAAAATCAAGGTTTTGTAGGGAGCTGTGCCGCAGTCAAATGGAACTAGCCAGGCCTGCGAGACGAGGGAAGGAGCAGGACTTTGCGGAGATCAGCAGGAGGATGTACATGTACGAAGAGATTAGGAGCAGCAGGGACCCGAGGGACCATGATCCATGTGGAAGACGGTCAGTGCTAGTTAGTCCCCCATCGGGAGGAGAGGAGGAGGACGACCCCGGTTGTCGCCGACCACAGCACCACACCCACAAAGAACCCTGCACAAAGATCGCGCGGGCGGGGACCTGTTCCTTTTCGTACCCATCTACTAGAACAAACAAACAAAGAACCCTGCAGGGCTCCAGGCCCCAAATGACGTGTGAGTGTTAGATTTGTTTGGTATTGCTAAAAATCTCTACTAGTAGAGGTGTGCGTTTTATTTATTTATCGTCACTGCCCAACGAGGAAATACGGGCATCTCGAGACGTTAGGCTTATGGGAAAGCCGATTTTCTACTATCTTGTAACTAAGCCACCTTTTGCGCAAGAGGGGCGGCTTATACTTAGTAGAAAATGGCTTTCCCATAAGCCTAACAAAGACGGGCATTCCGCTACGCACATAGGCATACCAACGAGAGGTAAAATAAATCGACACCCAAAGAGAAGGATAGGGTGGTCCCCCTGCACGAGCAGGATCTTGGATATGCCAAGTAAGTAGATCTAAGTAAGTAGGAAAGCGAAGAACAGCCAGGCTCGGATTGGACACCAAGTCACCAACGTGGATCGTGGTATATGCGGGTGGACGCCGGACAGAAAAAAAAGAAAGAAAGAAGCCTACAACCCAGGGGAGGGATGGGAGGACGGCACGCCGCCACCCCACAGGGATTTTAAGGAGAGGAGAGTGTGGCTGGGAAAAACCGCACTTGGAGCACTTGGAGTGCTTGGAGTGCACAGTTATCAGCCGCACGATCCCTGGTGTGGACGATTCTTTTCGCGGTATCCGCGGCGGGATATGGCGGGATATGGCGGGATACCGGGAGATACCGGGAGATACCAGGAGATACACGTGGATATGATGAGATACGGAGCCCCCACGATGTGTTCGACACAATGAAGCGTGAAACCGCAAATCGCACGCGAACAGCGAACTTCGCGCTTCGACCGGCCGTGATCTGCCGTGCTGCTGAGCGCTCGATTCCCATGATTGGCGAGAGCTCGTCATCATCGATGAAGCATCGCAAGGACAAGAAGGAGAAGAGCGCCGAACGCAAGCGCAACCGTAAGAAGCACAAGCGGGATCACGACACAGCGACGGCAGCAGCTCGGAAGGTGAGGTGCCACGGCCGCGGCGGAAGGAAGGTGCGGTGCCGCGGCCGTGGCGGAAGGAAGGTGCGGTGCCGCGGCCGTGGCACCGCATGCGAGTGGGGACCGACAAGGCGAGCGAGATCTTCCGCAAGAACCCGAAGTGGGCCAAGAAGTTCCTCGTGATACGCAAGCTCACCGACATGGTGATGGGCGACCCAAATTTCTTGCCCAACCCTTGCGCCATCCTCTGCCCCTTTGACGGGCCCCGCTGCACGCACGGCTTTTTTCGGATGAACGGGAGCTGCAAGCCCTCACAGCTCTTCTCGCACTGGCAGCATATGCATGCCAACAACCCCGCCGCCAAGCAGCTGGAGGCGCGCTGGCGCCAGGCGATCAAGATGAAGGGCACATCTCGCTCGAGCAGCTCGACCAGTGCGCCCCGTGCACGTTGACTGGTGACACCGAGGAGGGCTACGAGCCGCTGCGCACCCCACCGGCAACGCCGGACGGGACGGAGCCGTCCATCGTCTTCCCGCACTCGTTCGAGGTTGGCTCCGCCGAGCTCCGGCGTCCGGGAGTGGCTCGCCGGGTCGGGCATTTGAGGTGAGCTGGTGAGGGCACGTGAGCGCGCTGCGGGCGACATGTGTTAGCGGGTGCATGTGTCAGCGCGCGTGTCAGCTCGTGTGCCTTCTTCAACGACATTCCCCTTTTCGAGCACACCAGGTCTAAGTTTCTTTTTTGTTTGCTCGCGCTCTGCGGCCGGAGCGCGGAGAGAGGCCGGGCTGCTCGGCGTGAGGCGGGCAGGATACGGCAGGATACGGCGGGATATGGCGGGATATGGCGGGATATGGCGGGATATGGAGAGATACATCAAGATACCGCAAACAAAAGAATCGTCCACATCAGGGCTCGCACGCCCAGGACCGGGGAGCTAAGAAGCGCACCCAGTTGGCCAGACGATTGGGATCGGGGTGCGGGCAAGAGAGGCCTAGCCCTGGGGGGTGCGCGGTCGCAGGGCCATAACACAGAGGTCTCCTCCGAGGGTTGGCTCTGCGCTCCGGGCCATAACACAGGTGCAGTGCAAGATGGAAAATGTCCCGGTTAGTATCCGACGAGAAAGCGATGTACGGCATTCCAAGTGGCGGCATCGACGTCGCGGACCTCTTGGCTCGCCTCGGGCTCGTCGAGAAGGGCGCCGGCGGAGGCGTGCGCGCGAGGGAGGGCCGCGTCCGCGGTGCAGCTCGTGAGGCGAGGCCTGGACTTGGATGTAGGCGACGTGGGGAAGGTGCTGCTGACCGCAGAGTTGTTGGAGAAGGAGGCGTCGATCCGGGATGTGTGCGAGGCGGAGAGGCGCGCGGGCGCGGCAAAGATGGCGGCGGTCGAGGCCGTAGTGGCCAGGGTGGAGGGTGAGGCCGCGGGGGGCGACCGCCTCGCGTTGGAGGCTCTGCGGGGCGCGGAGGCGGCGGCGAGGAGGGCGTCGGGCGACGCGCAGGCGGAGCTGGATCGCTTGAAGAGGATGCACCAGGTGCGCGATGGAACCCCACAGGGGCACGGGAGGCTGGCAGTCGGGCGGCCAGCGGATCAGCGTGATTCCCAACTAGCGCCACGATCGCTGAAGTACGTGTGAGGCTCCCCACGTCCCGTCCGCAGTTTCTGCACCATACGTACGACAGTGTGGGCGCAGGTTATAATTGTGGTCACGACTGACGACGTTCGACGTTGTTCGTTCCTTTTGTGCGTTTTGTGTTGTTGTACGTCGACTTTCAGCTTGCTGTATGTTGCACCTGAGGCAAACCCCACTTTGGGACCTATTTGAGGCGGTGTGGCGCCGGCGGGGTCGCGCCGCGGGCGCGTCGCACGGAAGCGAAACAAACGGGCACGCCAAACGAGGGGTGGGAGAAGGACAGGGTCCCCACCTGCACGAGCAGGATCTTGTAAGGACGATCAGGGACACAGGGGAACGGGAGCGGGTCTCCTCCGAGGGTTAGCTCGCCGCGCGGTTTCTTTGCTGTGCGAGCCTGGAAGAATTCTTTGCTGCGCGACCCGGCTGGTGGGTGGCGCTCCACCTCGGCAGCTCTCCTGCAGCTCATGGCGTTCAGGCGTGCTACCGTAGCGTTCGGTGCCGCGGCGCTGCTCGTGTTCGCGACGGCAACGATCCAGTCGCCGCCGGACGAGGACGACGAGGAGGAGGGGGATCTGTTCGAGGAGCCGTTCTGGGCCGAGTTCGCTGGCAAGATCCAGTCTTCTGTGGATGGCGGGACGCTGCTCCGGGCGCGGCGGTGGGGCAACATCGCCAACGGCGTGCTCCTTGGCACGACGGGTCCGATCGCGCTCATCATTTCGGCCATCGGCCTGCGGCTGCCGCACGCCGTGCTCGCGGGGTATCTCGCTGCGCTCGGCGGCACCATCACCTCACTGGAGCTCGGGCTCTCGCCCATCGCGCCGTGGGTGTCGGAGAACCTCTCCTTCCTCGCGAGCTCCGCCGGGCGCACGGCGCTCCTCGGCGTCGCAGGCGGGCTTGCGTGGGCCTTCGGCAAGCCCGCCGCGCTTGCGGCGCTGCTGACGTGTGGCAACGCCCTCTTCAATGGCTACTTCGCGAAGGCACAGACGCTCCTCCCTCCCCGCAACCGCTCTCTCCACGGCTTCCCTCATCGCCGCTCCCTGACCGCTCGCCCCCACGGACGCTGCCCTCACCGCCGCCACCCTCGCCGCCCAGATACTGCGCTTTGTCTCGGCCGATGAGCTGGAGGGCGGCGATGTACGAGGAGGGGTGGACCAGGCCGCGGACTACGAGCCCGGCGCCGAGCCCGAGATCGACCTGCAGCCGCCGCTCTGAAGCGGCCCTCTCCGGCCGCTGGGGTGGTGGCGGCGGCAGTGGCGGTGATAGCCGCGGGCGTGCAAGATTGCTTGCGTCACCGCTCGCCCCCGGACTCTGCACGCGTGCGCCCACCGTTCGAATCCAGCAGATCCGCTCTCCTCGCGTGACACGCAGCGTCGGTGGTGGGAGGTTCATGCGCCCTGGTTCTCCCTGGGAGGAGACGCCCCCCTGCCTGAAGCGTGAAGGCTGAAGCGCAGTGAAGTGGTCCCGGGCGTCTGTGACACTTTTTCGAGCAAAAGGCGACTTTAAATGTGCAGAAAAAGAAGGAAAACCCGCGCGAGCTTTTGGAAGGACGGTCGGGGACCCAGGGGAACTTACCGTCAAAGTAGAGGGAGCGGACCGTGAGTTGAGGAAATCGGAGGACGCGACCCACTTCGCCACAGACGGTCCCGCGCCTCGCCGCTATGACGGGCACACGCCCCGCACCGTCCGCTGTGTGCCCGTCTTTGTCCGGAGTGAAAAGTCCAACGCGCTCGTCGGTGACGGTGTCCTCCAACCTGCGCCGCGCTCGGCGAACCTCGACAGCGCCTTCGATGGCATGCAGCTCTTTGCGTCAGAAGCCTGGAGAGCAGCTCCTCGGCTGCTCACACGCTCTGCACAGTTGACACAGTCTACTGTGCGGCTACCACAGCTGTGACAGCGATGGGCTCGCCCTCACTGGCCCTCAGTCACTTGTGCTGCGGCTTGTGTGAGCGACACTGCTCGGCGACTGCCGGCACACTGTGAGACCATGGGTGTGAGGTAAAACCACGCTACCAGCGCTTGGTCACATCGGCCCCGAGGTCAGCTCCTTCAACTCTGTTAGTGACAAGACTTGTCTACTGGCTGGAGCCGAGCAGGAGGGCCCGGCGCACAACCCCTGGTCAATTCACGGTCTACACCCCGTATTTTTTTTGAGAGCGCCTTCGTTGTTAATAATAATACAGGGGACCTGTTCCTTTTTACCCATCTCCTAGTAGGTGTCCGTTTTATTTATTTATTTATTTAATAATAATACACACGGTCACCGTCGGTCCTGCGTCGGTCATCTGCTGCAGCGGCCGCACGACATGCACACACCCACACCGCACCGCACCCCGCACCCGCGCGGCCCCCCGCCCCGCCTAGTTGGGAAGGAGGTGAGGAGGATGGAACAGCCCGAGGAAAGGAGCGAAACAAACACTGGGATCTTAAACACATTATTTTTTCTACCGCGTCTCCTGGCTAGGAATCCTACAGATGCCAAAAACGATGCCAGGTTTTTGGGTCGTCGCGTTGCCTGAGGCGTCCTGCGACGCCGGCTGCGCGCGGCTGAGACTAGGAGCAACTCACCTCGCATGCGACGAGGTCGCTCACCATCGGCGCAACTCCGACGTCTCCTCACCCTCGCGCATGTGTGTTGTCCTTCTCGTGCGACGGCCTCAATCTCTGCTGCTTTGCTTGACACATCTCTCGCCTGTGTAGGCGCGCGCTCCTCGATTCGCTCGGCGTCCCGCTCTCCGCCGGAGCAGTGTGTGATGGGCGCTGGGGCGAGGGTGCTGACGTTCCCACGGTCGCACTCGACGGAGAGAGTTGCTTTCATTCCGCAGTCGGCCGAAACGCTAGCTCCTTCCACTGCGATGCCGTGCCCGAGCCACCTGGTCAGGGAAAGCGGCGCCTCTGCTTCTGCTCGATGCCACGCCCACCCCTCCCGCCGCGTTCGCCGCCGCCGCCGCCGCCGCCGTCTCCATCTCCGGCAATGGCACCGCCGCCCCCTGCACCTACCGCGCCCAATCCAGCGTCGTCGAGTGCCTTGAAGAACGAGGAGCAGCGGTGGGAGGGGGGAGGGGAGGCGCGCCCCTGCATCGCGCCCGGGCTGAGCATGCGAGTCGACCTGAGGTGAGACCACACCAAAAACCTGCCCGGACAGAGCGGCTCAGACAACACCCTCCTCCCTCCCCACGCTTGCCCCACACCACGCTGCCCTGCACGTGGTGCGACGCCTCGCCTGTCTCCGCAGTTCGCTCGACCCTCCCGAGCGCTGCTCCTCGCCCGAGCGGAACCGCAACCCGCTCCGCTGTACCGCTGCCTATGTCATCGCCTCGCCCGCCGTCGCCCAGCTTAGATGCGAGCTATACTCACCCGCATCGCCAACACATAGAAACGCCATCCGTTCTCGCAACACTGCGTGCCTATCTCCACCGTGCCCTCTTTTGTGACTGCAACTCGCAGGTCGCGTTCGCGTGCGCCTACACTCTCGACGGCGACGACGAAGCGGATTCGACTTGCTTCGAAGACCGGACGCCCATACTCTGCGCCAC